GTAACCAAATAAAAAAAATAAAATTTAAACCAAGGATAAAATTGAACCACAACTTATACATTAAAACAAAACACAAAATAAATAAGCAAACAAAACAAAAAGAAAGAAAGAAAGGGTGCTAAGAAGGATTTGAACCCGGCATCTTCAGCTTGACGCAACTTCTCCTTACCACTACACTACTAAGGATTAGTATGTAAGTCTGGTGAAAAGTCTTTACTTTAAGGCCTTTTCCATGGCAATTCCATCAGCAAATGCCTTTTGAAGCTGATCGAGCTGTATTAAACACGAATTCAAAGGTATATTTCAGGAAAATAACTGGGCTATTGACAGTAAAAAACCACCGTAAACTCATTTCATGACAATGAAAGGACATATTATGCCCAACAAAGCTGATACAACTCGAAGTAGGACGCGAAGCATAAACTGATGTTTTCTTTCCTCGATTTCCACAGTTATTTTGAAGGCAATGTCATTTTCTGAAAAAGGTACTTCTACCCTTGAAATTTATCACTAAAAGCATTTCATGACCTCGTAAATGACATTAAACGCCCCCTAAAGCAACCAGGAGAGTGCCTTGTTGCTAGGTAACTGCATTTGCCCAAACAAATAAAGATATTTATAACCAAGGCAAGATCATGCAAGCGGGACAAAAAATTTATAAACTTGCTTGGCCAGAATTAAAGATTTTAATTTTTTAAAGTTATTTTCACTTTTTTGGAATGATAACTTGCGCGGTCATTAGTTTGAAAGGGTGGCTGATCGAGGCAGTCAACAGAGTCTCCTTCCTCTTCCCGACATATCTACAAAGCTCGAAGCAGACTGTTCGCAGGGAAACCAATGATGACAGATAACATGCACCGTTTTGTAGTTAGCGGCATGGTAATAAAGAAATCTGTCAGTGTAAAACGCAGACTGCGGACTTCAGACTGCAGACCAGGGGTAAAATGCAGACTGCAGACTGAGAGTAAAACACAGGCTGGGTGCAAAATGCAGAATAAAGACTGTAGACTTTTTTAAACATTTGTGCTCCTTCTTCTCCAAATCGGTGAAATAGCTAGCCAGTATCAGTTACACACTTCGCTTCCTAGTCGAAGTGAATTGCACATTTGCCAGAAGTTTCAATTAACATCCGAACAGCTCAAGTCTGCGTATCTTGATTTGCAATACTTTCATAGAGGGTCATCCAAATTTCCTGCAGAACATCTTTCTTTGTTGTTGGAATGATTTACTCCCTTTTTTATCACCATAATTCTTCCTGTACAGTATTTTGGGTCAGCAGCTTTCATTTAAGCGTAAACATCATGGTGTTGTACCAGTTCACGGTCCCTGGTCATGTATATCGAAAACTTCGCATCTAAAGTTGAAGCATGAAGTCTCTCGGATAGAAAAAAGGTTCAAGATTGCAATTATGTTTTCGGGTCGTTGACGACGTTCCAGAGAAGAAAGAAGTGGATTTGTGAAAGCAGATGTCGTAAAGAAAGTGTTCGTTTAAATTTATTTGCGGGACTTTTTTGCCCTTAAACCCTTCCACGACTACAGTTTATGCTCGGTCTGCATTTTACCCCAGCCTGTGTTTTACTCTCTGCAGTCTGCATTTTACACTCAGTCTGCAGTTTACCCCTGGTCCGCAGTCTCCAGTCCGCAGTCCGCAGTCTGCGTCTTACACTGACCGATAAAGAAATGTTGAGTTTGTGATGACAGGTTAATTTTGGAGGCTTTTGGAATCATGCTAGAAATACAATTACTTGAGAAGGTTAAAACAAAGAACTTTGAAAGAAGAAAAATCAAACCTGTATCCACAAGGATACAGCAAAGCGAAACCTGTAATGATTGTTTGAACTGGATTATCAGACATTTCAAGACATTTCCCTTCCATCGCAGTGATCAAACTCGCATTGTCCGACGGCTGATTTATGTTCATGCTGGGTGGAACCGAGGTTATACTATACAGCTTAACTAACGCCAATAATCCTGCAAGGCGAGCATGATGGCGATCACTGAGTATGGAAAGAATATGTTAGTTTACACAAACGAAATTGACTTTCTTTACAAAGCTACACACCACATAGTTAACTGTGAATGTCTTAAATCCAAACTAGAGAATTCATGTTTGAAACAAACCTGCGTTTGAGGGCTTGGAAGTAAGATCTTTGCTTCTGAAGATGTGGGACGATCGAGTGGACGGACGTAGGGTGCGGTTACTCTTTTATGACGTCAACGTCTGCGAATGAGGCACTTGATAAGGGTCACGCGATATCTTACGTCAAAGATTGTCGAAAGCTATTCTTGGGTTGCACGTGACGTCACCAAAAATCAAACTAAGAAACTATCGATTCTTCTGGGTTTCTACTTTTACGAGGTATTACAGTACCTAAACATCTTTACATAAACAAATTTTTGGTTCGAAAGGGTTCTTCGTTTTGGGAGAGAGGACGCTTGAATTTCCAGGCTTTTGCGTAACGCGGCATTTAGCTGGCGGCCGGGAAAGCTCTTATATCGGTTAAAAACTTTACCGATTTTGCAATCTAAACATTCCTTGTCTCAGAATAAATATTACTGTAATCTTTATGAGTTCCTCAAGCGAAGAATTCACGCATTAGTAGGAAAACTCGAAAACAGATGTTTCTGTTGGTATCCGGCGGCCATATTGGTGTTCCTGAAAGGGACACCAACATGGCGTTTCCATACAAAGCTTTATGAATTTGGGTAAACCGTTTTTCCCAATATCTCGCATTTGAAATATTTCACAGACCTGATTCTTGGCAAGGGGTTTGGTATATTCATCTTTTTTCATTTGCCAGATTCTAGTCCCTCTGGTATTGAATGGTTTGCATTTTTATATTTCATTGCGTGACAGTGCAAGCCGACAATTGGTACAGTCAGAAACCCATAAGTTATGAGTTTCTGGTACAGTAGAACTGGGGAAATTTGTTCGTTATATCGAGAGTTCGTTATGTCGAACACCTCGATTTAACGAATTTTCGAAAAAACAGTCAAAATGCTCGTTATGTCGAGGCATAGTTAATAGTTAATTTACAAAACCCAGTATTCCCGGATCTGCGGCACTAGAAACTCAAGAACAGGCAAACAAAACTGTCCCCCCTACCTCCACTGTACCTACAAATTTTATCCTTTTTGGTCTGTTTGGCATTCATCATTTATCACATGTTGACATTTATTCGTTATATCGCGATGCAATAATTTTTAAGATTGCGTTTCTGGATTGTGTTCGTCTGTATAACGAGGATTTCGTTAAATCGAGGTTCTGTCAAGGGGGGGACTTCCTTAAGAGGCTAGTGGGGATGTGTCGCTGGATGGGGTTGCATTTTCACGACTGGTTTGACTTTATAATAATGGGGGTGCACTTTCAATAGAGTTACTTTTACTTGAATGGGGTGGCACATTTTCGGATTTTGGGGTTAAGAAAGTTCTTCATATATAGAGGATATTACATGGCCGCGCGGAGATACGAAATTTCTCTTCGAGTGTTGAAAAATATTTCATGAGTGAGCGCAGCGAACGAGTGAAACATTTTTTCAACACGAGAAGAGAAATTTCGTATCTCCAAGCGGTCATGTAATATTCTATTTATTATATAAACACCAATAAAAATACCAAACCATTTCACTTTAATAGTTTTTTGGTGTGGAAGGCGCGATTTATTATGTAGCCATAGCAACGGTGATATTTTCACATGTGAACATAACATGTTATTTTCACAGGTGAAGATATCAAGTTTTCGCGCGAAAGCTCACCTGGTATTTCACTGGTGTTTATATAATAATTATGGATATTTATGGTTAGCTAACGTACCAGAATGTTTGTATTGTAGGTGAAAGGTAAAGTGTTCTTCATTCAATATAAAAAATGGGTGAATTCATTTTAGGACAATTTTTAGGATAAGGTTAAGATACATAAAAAGAAAGTGACTTAGTTAGGATCGAAAATTACATTTGCCCAAAATTGACTAAGATAGGCTCTAAAATTGGCCACAGAATCGACTATAATGGGGTAGGGGCTCCGAGAGGCCAGCGGCAGAAAAAAATAAAAAAATAAACCGAAGTACCACCTCCCCTCCCGCCCGCCGAAATTGCCAAGGATCGAATAAAGCATTCATCTGGTAGCTACTGGAAACTTGGCTTACGCTACACTTTGCCTTAATACGTTAACATATCATGGGCTTGTCCAAATGTGCTTCTGATTTTTTTAGGAAAATACGTCAGAGGCCGGCAGAAAGTGACGGAAACCAGTTCTAATCTTGGGGAAAGTTTGCTCCCCCTGCCGCTTTTTCATAACTTCTTGGATCCCCTCCTAGCATTTTCGATTGCAATCCTTTGTTTTTTCATTTATCACGTGATGTATTTTTGGTCAGTAGATCTATTTGGATGAAATATACTATATATACATCTGCAACGTTTTACTCCGATTATCAAAAGACCAAGTAACTCCACGTGGAAGCAACGCATTCTTATCCTGTGTGGGAACGCTATGTCATTGTTATTTCATCCGGACCGGGAAAGAGCATTTCCAGTTAAGAGAGGTATTTTAGTAAAGGTGGATTTTTGAGAACCTTAAATGCAGTCAATTCTCTTTAATTTACGGCCGCTTCAAGGAAATGATGCTATTAGCTGTGGAAACAGTGAGAAATAAGCAGTACAAATAGCAAAGCAAAATTGTAGTTGTTTTTTCTTTGTCCATAACGTTTACTTGGTACTAAAATACACTAGAAAATCTATTCAAAAAAGAGAGTATTTTTACAAAGATTGTCACGAATTTATGTACATTGTAGTATTGTTGATTCATCCACACAAAGGATTGAACGTGTTTGCTGCCCATCGCACGGCAGAATTACATATTTTTTCGAGTCAAAAATTTAAATATTATTTACAGTAAAAATACACAAACTACTCCGCAAATCTATTGCAATACTGTATAAATTGGAAAATTTACACAATTGCCATCAGAAATTTACATATTTTATTATATCATAGTACTGGCGATTATGAACTTGTGCCAGATTCGTTGGAAAGACTGTCCGTATTTTGTGTGTGTTCACCCTTAACTGGACTGCCACTCTGCATGCTGGTTAGTGGAGAACTTTGCATTCCATGGAGGGAAACATATCCCGGGATTCCTGGCGGTGGGTGGGTGACTATGGATATGCCAGAACCACTGGATTGCGTTACACCTGGAATTGTACTCTGCGCTTGTAATCCATGCATAGGCTGTCCCATCATTCCATGCGAGGAGAGATCTCCTGGGCTTCCTAGCAGAAGAGGAAATGTAGAACTGGTTGATCCACTGAAACAGTGCGGGTCACCTGCAATTGTACTCTGGATCTGCAATCCATACAGTGAAGGGTCCGGCATTCCTTGAAGACGGGGGTCTTCAATGGAGGGTGCCAGGCCGTGGTTGAAATCATGTGCCGTACTAACTGGAGTACCCACTGACACACGACCGGATGAAGAGAAATAAAAATACAAATTAATTAAGATCCCCCACGAGTAAAATGATGTGACAGTGAAAGCTACTGATTTTAGACTTGTTGCATTCAAGTTAACTTCGCCTTTGATGACTTTTGGAAGTTATTGTACAAACTTTAAAAGAGATTAAAGCAGTGTTCACTTTGGAAATTATAAAAGATAAACTGAAAGAGAAAGGTACCTTGCAAGAGGTCTCCAGTTGTTCAACAGGAAAAATAGAACTAACCAGCGGATAAATAAAAAACCATTAGAAATAACCGCTTCCTAATCCCTACCCACTGAGTACTGATTTATCTGATGAACAGCACTTATCTTTTTATTGAAAAAGCGGCACCTGTTTGTTTCTGTTTTCTATATTAGTCACGATTACACCATAACTGAAAGAGGAATTATGTGAAGTTTCCTGTATTCTCACATTGCTGCTTAAGTCACAGTGTTACAAACCAATCAAATTATGTTGTTTTAGTCGTACCATGGGTAAAAAAAGGTAACTGGAAACCTTACCAGCAGGATCGAGAGGGACTGGAACTGATTCAACGGCTCCAGGATCCTGCAACAGCACGTCCTGAGTACTGGGGCGAGTGTTCCACTGCAACTCTGCCAGAATCTGTGCATATGAAGGAGGAGAACAAGTCAGTGAGGAAGAGCTGATAATATAATCGAGTAATAAGAAAGTGTTTACTAACTTGTGAAAAGCGGACAATAGAATATCAGTACAAGAAGCAAATTAAACCTGTGATCTACTAGCAATTTATCATTTGACTTCACGGCAGTGTAAAGAACACTCAGCAGAGTGGATGATTTGGGGAATAGCCAGCTGACTTGTTTGATATACTTTACTGTTCACAACGACGTTTCTGTCTACAGTCAACCCTCCCTAAGACAACAACCACCATCGGGATTGGCTCTAACTGTCTGTCTTAGCACGAGTTTAGTTATGACTAAAAAACGGCAAAAGGGGGATCAATGATAGAGAAGTGTTGGTCTTCCTGTGCTGTCCCAAGAGTGACCAACATCAATTTTCTCTTAACAATATCAGTGCATAATCAAGGGAAAAGGTTATGAGAACTATTAAAAAGATCACCCTGGTTAAAATGCTTTGATCTTTTATCAAATTTTCTCAACTGATTCTTTAAGGAAATGTATGGAGATCAGTATGGAGAATTTGTATGTGGATACTGGGGCTTAAAGGGTTAAGAGAGACTGTACTGGACTGTATGGGATTCTTTTACTAAAGTAAAACATACCGATCAATCCCACCTCTCTGGAGCCACTTTTTAGTGTCATTTATTATAATAATCCTGTTTGTCTATTGATAATCTCACATAACCTGTTCTTGACTAATGACAAGTAAAATAAGTGCTTAAACCTTTATTACTACGAGTGTATTAGGATACCACGTCGAGTTCTCACACTTTCGCTGCCCATGGACGCTGAATAACTCTTCTATTATAAACATGCTTGTTGTTAAAAGCACATTTAATCCATGACGTCTCTTTTATTGAATATGAATCTTAACCAATGTTTAATAACAACTTTATGAATCCGGCCCCTTTACCTCATCAACGGGCAAAATTCCCAAATTGGGCTCGGGCTGTGTAAATGCAGACAGGCCAGGATCACCGACGAGATACGAATCGCTACCCAAGGATCTTCCAGGTGTAAAGATGGAGGACGGGGTACTGTAATGATGGGTTTGGATAACAGGGGAGGAGTAATGCTGTGGATACTGAATATGAACGGGGTTTGCAGTGAAAGGTTCAACAGGTGCCTGACCATGGACCGATCCATGTGCTGTAGTAATAGACACTCCTGTCAACACCGGATCAGCTGTAGTGAAAAAAGGAGAGAATTAAGATTCCCACAAGTAATATGATGGTGAAAAGCGATTGTTATTAAAACAGTTTATCTTACAGCGCAATTCAAGGGACAGTAAACCCCAATCTTTTTTAAGTGGCTTATTTTAAATAGATACGTGGTTTTGTTACCCTATTGACACCAAACAATGTTTAGATATCAGGAGGGAGGAGGGCAAATTGCAATTAAAAGAAAAAAAAAGACTACGAAGGCGGTTTCGTTAAACGCCGTCTAAAATTTGTTTTCATAACCGGCGCGTGGTCTTTATTGTACATTTCTCCTGATCTCTTGACGTTATTCAGTTTGATTTGATTTATTTGTTTTTGCCACGTTAAAGTTTGTAGAATTGAGAAAAAATATACAGAAAAGATGGTGACGGGGAAGCCTCAACTGGAAATTAAAGCAACGCCCACTGAATTCCACATGGAAAATGTCCACTTGGGATATTATAGAAGGCAGACTATGAGACAGTTGTCTTACGAAGAGTCTTTTCTCGATCTTCAACAGATCTTCAGCGCCCAGTATTTTGACAGTTGGATAGTGCTATCCACTGGATAAATCAGATCAAATAACCAGCCAATGGATAACGCCATTGGTTTCCCTGACACTTAGCCACTGGACAGTGGGTGCCTCAGTTGAAAAGCGTTTATAACTATTGAAAAAGTGGGATCTGATCATCAAATGAAAAACGAAAGCACTACGCGCAATTTTTGTGTATTCTCACATCGCTGATTAATTCAGTCACTGCGTTACAAGCCAATGAAATTATTTTGTTTTAGTTGTACTACGGATGAGAAAAGGTAAGTAAAAACCTTACCAGCAGGATCGAGAGGTACTGGAACTGGTTCAATGGCTCCACTGAGGTCGTGTAACGGCGCGTCCTGAGTACTGGGGCGAGTGTACAACTGGAACTCCGCCAAAATCTGTGCATGTTTAAAAAAGGGAACGAAAAATTTCCTCAAAAAGTTTGTCCCGAGAAAATGACTTGTTTACAAAGAAATCCTTAATAAGACATCTTCGGCTTTTACGTTTTCTCATCAGCTCTCAGTTTTGTCAGTTTCCCATTATAAAATGCAAATACTATCTTGCTTTTTAGTATAGGGTATCCCTTAAATAAGACGGATCCTAAACACTGTTTTAAAAACGAATGTCCAAGAAAAGCTTTGAGAATCTGCCTTCATTACTCCTTTCAATACCTCACCAACGAACACTTCCACCTCGGACTCTGAATAAAAGTTGTTGTTGTTGTTGTAGGGAACAACAGAGAAAAAGCATTTGATATTGAGCTCTCGCAGCCAAACATAGCTGTGCCTTATAAACTTTCCTTTCAAAGAAATGACTGATTTCCTATAGTGCCCGAGTACCGGCACAAAATGGCACTGTGTTCACACCTTCAGTACCCGCTATGTAACCGTGTACATTGTCAATCCCTTTCGCCCTGTCAGACGAACCTTTGAAACTGGAGCATAGCAGGGAGTGCAAAGAAGTGGATTGCCCCGGAACTAAACAAAAACACTGTACACACACGGACCCGGTGCCCAAACTCTGGCGTGGATACTTGAAAAAGGGTGTGTTCACATCAGTGCCCAGCAAGTACTGTACTCTGGCACCGTGCCTGGGCGCTGCCCAAGACTTCCACGGTAAGATGAATCTAAATACTGTGTAATAACAATATCCAAGACAGGCATTGTGAATCCCCCCTTATTACCTCATGAGCGGAAAAACACTTGAGTTTCGGCTCGTCCTGTGTAACTGCAGACAGACCAGAACCACTGGTAAAATACAGATCACTTCCCAAGGATCCTCCAAGCGTAAGGATGGTGGACGGGGTGCCGTAATGATGGGTGCGGATATCAGGGGACGATTAATGGTATGGATACTGAATGTGATGAAAGGGGTTTTCAAAGAAGGGTGCAGCAGGTTCTGCGGCTGGAACTATGCGCTGGAGGAGTAGGAGCTACCGCTAAAACCAAACCGGCTGTAGAGAGAAAAGGGTAGCAATTAGAATCCTACAAGTAACAAGTACAGAAATAACAACGGATTTCAGACTTATGGTCATCAAGTAATCTAATTTGTAATACACCTTCGTCCTAACAAGTCAGTGAAAGAAATCACGTTCTTATGTGTTCATTCAAATGAAACCTCTTAAGCAGTACATTCACATGGTACTATTTTTTTTCTTCACTTTACAAAACAAAATTCGGACATTTTGTTGAATTTGGACGTTGGCCACTTTTAATTAACTGAAGTGACGTTTGACTGCAACGCACTCGAGTAAAACGTTGAATTGGAGCTCAGATCGTTTTAAAAAACCAATCAAAAGCAAGGAAGTTGAAACCTTACCAGCAGGATCGGGAGGCACTGGGAATCCGGGTCCTGTGGTTTCAGGGTCATGAGTAGGGAATGGTGAGCCGTGAACACTGGGGCGAGTCTCCGCCAGAGTCTGTGAAGTGATAGACGAGAACAAGAGGTGATCAGCGAAATGATCAATCGAAGATAAACTGTTTATTTAGTCAGTGAATACTAGATCACAAAGAGGGAGAATCTCAGTCCCCGAACCAGGTCAAAGTAAATGTTATGCCACACAGATTGGTAACATCATTTGTGATCAAATGATCAGCGCTGACGTCTTTAGTGAATGTCATTTTTCAGGCAAGCCTCATGCTACAACTGAAGTCGTGTTTGATTGAAATGCATAAAAAAGCCTCTTCCCACAGAAATAAAGTTTAAAGTTTTCACCAAGATCTCCATTATTGATCCTCTCAAAGAGGAACTATCAGTAAAAACGTTTTAAAAAAGTGCGTTTGGAATGTTTCGTTTATCCATCTTCATTACCTCATTGAGGGACTAGAAAAATACCATAATATCGACCCACACAAAATCTGATGACCCACCTGCTCTCAAAAAAACTCAGCTGCGCATTGTGTTGTAAACTTAACTCCTGACCGTTTGTAAAATATAAATTTAAAGACAGAAAGCACAAAACACAATCAATGAAAGTAACAAATTGTGCCTGAAGTCGCTAACTGACCCCCTCTTCCTCGTCGTCAGATTCAGCTGATGAATCATCCTGCCAAGAAACAAAAGACGACATTACAACACCTCTCCTTACAAAAAATATTTTGAAGATTAAACAAGTCATTGAAAAAGAAAGGAAATCCTTCAATGAGAAGATGCGAGTGGGGTTCTGAGGTTAGGATGTAAAGGTTTTGACGCCTTATTGTTTTATTAATTTTATTGCCTTTAATATCCTTCGTTAATTACCTGATTATGATTCAAAAGTTTCTTTTCTTCTTTGCTAAGACTTAACAAAAGACTGACGACCCGCTACACTGACGAGCAAAACGTACGACTATGCCGGTTAACTAGAAAGCTAAATCACAAGTCCAATGATCAAGGAAGGCCGGGTTTTCCTTGAAAAGGTCCAATGAACAGAAAAACAGATTTCCCCGTGCAATCAATGAGGTTTTTAGNCTCAAAAAAACTCAGCTGCGCATTGTGTTGTAAACTTAACTCCTGACCGTTTGTAAAATATAAATTTAAAGACAGAAAGCACAAAACACAATCAATGAAAGTAACAAATTGTGCCTGAAGTCGCTAACTGACCCCCTCTTCCTCGTCGTCAGATTCAGCTGATGAATCATCCTGCCAAGAAACAAAAGACGACATTACAACACCTCTCACTACAAAAAATATTTTGAAGATTAAACAAGTCATTGAAAAACAAAGGAAATTCTTCGATGAGAAGATGCGAGTGGGGTTCTGAGGTTAGGATGTAAAGGTTTTGACGCCTTATTGCTTTATTAATTTTATTGCCTTTAATATCCTTCGTTAATTACCTGATTATGATTCAAAAGTTTCTTTTCTTCTTCGCTAAGACTTAACAAAAGACTGACGACCCGCTACACTGACGAGCAAAACGTACGACCATGCCGGTTAACTAGAAAGCTAAATCACAAGTCCAATGATCAAGGAAGGCCGGGTTTTCCTTGAAAATGTCCAATGAACAGAAAAACAGATTTGCCCGTGCAATCAATGAAGTTTTTAGTATGACTTTTCTTAAAGTAAATCACATACAAAACATTATAATGAATAATTAAAAATTACTCAAAGACAAGGCAAAACTATGAAAAAATTTAAACAAAATGAGGGGTTTTTAATCTCATAAAACACGCCGGAACAGTTATTGGGACTGAAGACCCGCGACGCTGACGAGCAAAACGAAAGTGCGGGTTACTTTGAATGTAATTCATATGTCCAATGCTCAAGGAACAGAAAACCAGACCTTCACTTGCCATCACTGAAAGTTGAAGAATAACCTTTGTTAAGTAAATCTTATACAAAACATTGATTAAAACTACAAGGAGTGAACTGAAATGAATTTCAAAAAGAAAACTCATGGCAAAACTATGCCTTCTTTTGACCTTATTTCTAAGACCAACCTGCTCCTGATCGTCCCCTAATCCAGATGAAGAATCAGGGAAGAGGTGAGGGAAAAACACTTTCCAATATTCCTCTGATGGCCACTGGTGTTCAGGCCGGGGATCGCCATTGAGCTCCTGAAACATGAAATGTCGACCATACAACAAACAATAAATGTAAGGTTTTCAGGCATAAACTTAGTCTTCTTTTTATTAAAACGTGACCAGAGGAAACGAGAAACAATATAAAGGTGGAAACTCCATTATCAGCAAGTTCAGACTACGCGGGTGCAATGAATGTAAAGCGACAAAACCTTAATACAGTCAAATCTCATTGTCAAGCGGTCGCTGCGGAAACTTAACCAAATTACAAAAAAAAGGATTCACTTCTCTAATACAATAGAATGAAAAACTCCTTCAGATCACTGGAGAGGGGGTTCAAAATGGGTGGGGGAAGGGAGGGTGGTAACGGTACATATGTGGAATAAATGCCCTGGCTAGCTTTACATTCAGT